TTCCCTAGGCTCTCGGATGCATAGATCTAGAAGTGAATCCAGCCTGATTGCCCCCCATTACTCTAAGGCCATGCTTTTTGGTCATTACCCCCACTCTACTTCTCCTTATACATTATACCCATTTTGAAACCCAGGACCGTTTATTCTGTCTTTATCGACTCTGTATAGTGGGCCAAGACTAGCTCTGGGGAGCATCTATATATGCCCTTAAGACAAGTCTCAGCAAGACTAGGCATGCTTCTTGCCCTCGTAGAATTTTCGAACCATGGTTTGCAACCCATAATAGATGTGAAATCAGTTTAGAGGGTCGCAGCCAGCATTTAAAAGAAACAGAATAGAAAATATTAAGATGCATCAGACATTGTGACAAGTGTTTTATGAAACTATGTGTATCGTAGTTTACAGGATAAAACATTTCCAGCTGTAGGTTGTGGACAAATGAGTTGAAAGCGACTGATCTGGGGTCCCAGAGTGGTGGACGCAGAGGTGGTTTTGAAACAAGTAAGGTGACAGATTAGATAAGCGATTGGAGGCTGTCCTAGGAGCTAGGAAGACGGTATACAAGCAGAATAAGGAAGAGGCCAGCATGGTGCCCATGACCACACCGGCATCTCCTGAGAGGATAACCTTGGGGCTGAGACCTCCAGGAGAGTCCCCGGATGCACGCGGCCTGGACTCAGGACAACAGCCACCCTGGGCAGGGTAGGAACAAGGTAGAAAGAGCTGGACCATAGCATCTGACCATAATACAGTACAGGTAGAAGGTAACGCAGATGTAAGCAAACCCTGAGGCCTAGACGCCATCCTCGTCCTCACCGCCATCACCCTCTTAACTCAGGTCAGATGAGGAAGAACCAAAAACTAAATTGCAGAATGTTGTCAGGCTGACCTTTGATGAACCTCTCTTCAAAGTTTTTCTTTGTTTCTAAAATATTTTTATATTTTATGAAAGGTTCTGTTTATAGACATTGGCTCGTTCACATCTTTTTTTTTTTTTGGTAGTGTCTACCTAGACCTCTGGTTGGTTGGCCTTTCTAGACCACGGTATCTCAATGTGGCGCTCTTGACATTGGGACTGCGTAAATCTGTGATATGTAGCAGCATTCCTGGCCCTTCCCGACCTGATGCCAATGGCAGCCTACTCCTTACCCTGGTTCTGATGGCCAGAAATGTTTACAGACGTTGCCACAGGGCCGGGGGGCGGAGTAGGGGCGCTGAACTGAGAACATTCTAGCAGGAATTCTAGGATACAGTGAGAGGAGATTGCCCAGATTGAGAATACCCTCCATCCCATCTGTCCATGACAGGGTTACTTTCTGTTTCCTTTCTGTTTAGTTGGAAATGTTAAATGTTAGGACTGGGGCTTCTAATGACTTGGAATAGGAGAAATCTGTATATGTATGTAAAACTGTGCGGTAGGGGGACTCTTGCCTCCACGTGGTGAGAGTTTCCTTGCAGTATAGTTGCTATCCTAAGGTTGAACATAAAAGTGGATTGACGCTGGCTGAGCTATTTTTTTAATTGACTCCATACCTTTTGATCTTTCATGTAGAAGTGGACCCAGCATTAGACAAGCCTTCCGAGTCGTTTTTCCAATACTGGTGATTTGGTTTCCTTTGTTCTTCTCCCATGCTTAATCCAGTCCGTCTTGCGACCAGTGGCTTATATTTCTGACACAGGAGTTATTTGTTCTGAGGCTGCTTTTTCCCTAAGTTGGTTTCCTGTCTATTAATCTTCCATATTTTCCTCCACTTCTTAACCTCACCACCTTTCTCCTACCATATGCTCCATGGAAGTGACTCCATTTTTTTCCTGAGTTGGGTTTTACAGAATGTATTTTGTTACTGTTTTGTGGTGACTGTTGCCCCCCAAAATTCCTGTAAAAAGAATCCCATTCTTTAAACCTAGAGTTTTCCTGCCATTTTGGGAATAATCTAGTGTAACTAATATCCTGTTAATTGTTGCACATACCAATGACTTTTGATGCTTCAGGGGACTCTCCTTAAAAATTCTTGAATAAGATTTTGGGTCTCATTAATCCTTTGAAATCTTTCTAAATTAAATCAGGTGCTTATTCAACCACTGTGCATTAACAACACGGAACGCAGGGGGCTGGTTCCATCTCTTACTTCCTTGGGGTCTCTGCTTTAATGTGACCCTATGAGTGAGGCTCTCCTCTGATCTCGTATAAAGTAACCCCTCTTGGTACTTAATTCCTTTGCCCTCATTTATGTCTTCAGAAACATTCATCACCATCTGTGATAGATATTTACTTGTGTATTTGGTTTTATTTCCTCCCCCTTGTTGGAATGTAAGGTGTATTTCCAGTCCTTAGACCACATCAAGAAATATTTGCTTGAATGAATGGATTTCCTTAATTTATCAGACACTTATTTAGCACCTGCAGAATGGCACGCGCTATTCTAGAATTTTTACACATGTTAACCCATCTCTGAAGGGATGGTTACCCTTGCCTTTCCCTTCACGAACACATTTTCTCTACTATTCTACTTTTCTGGAGAGAATTCATATTTTGAGCAGCTGCTGTCCTCTGTCTGTCTTTTCTGTTCATGGTCTCTTGTTTATGTTCTCTTCCATCATGATTCTGTCTCCTTGAGGCCATGGGAAGAATTGGTTCCAGTTCTCTGGATTTTCCCACTCCTAGAATGGGCACGTGCCCACATTTGGCACAGAGCATGCTCCTGAAAACCTGAACTCGAGTGTACGATGGTGGGAAACCCTACGACGGTGTGTAGCCATCTCCCTCAGAGCCGTGTGCCCAGCTCTGGACTTCAGTCCACGCATTGTCTTACTATTCTCGGGGCATTAAAAAAGACCAATGCTTACATATGATATAAATATTTAGGGGTGTGTGTGTGTAATTTCTTAGTGTCTAAGTGTTGTAGGCTGTGTGTGATTATTTCCAAAAGGCAGAATCAACATAAATACAGATGACAATTCTAGTATTCTAAATTATTTCTATCCTCAAATTCTGGAATTCTCTGTATACTCAGGCACATTTAGTAGGAAGAGTTGTTTCCACATTGGGAAGGACTTGCTGATGATGAGGGGACGTGGGGATTGAGTACGAGACAGTTGTGCTGGTTTTGGTGCCCTCTCGTCTCTCCTACAAGAACCTTTTCCTGGGAACCTGAGCAACCATTCTGCCCACTGTGTTGGCGGGAGTTTTGAGCAAGCAGCATGAGAAGAGTCTCCCGGTGTGTGCTAGGAGCAGAGAGGTGACACAGGACTCTTCTTTGCACTCCTCAGCTGGCTGGGAGTTCGCGGGGCCAAAGTTCTGCTTCTGCCCCCACCTCACAGTCACTGCAGATAGCAGACCCAAGTACCAGCCCAGTGGTTAGTTTTCCAGAAAACCTGCTTGGGGCATCTGGATGGCTCAGTTGGTTGGGCGTCTGCCTTTGGCTCAGGTTGTGATCTCAAGGTCCTGCGATCGGGCCCTGCATCAACTCTTGGCCTAAATCTGTTTCTTTAATTTTCTTCCATGGTGCTTGAGTTAGAATGGAAGGTCAGTGTCTTAAAAGTGCATCCACACTCTTGAATGTTCCTACACATTGTTTTTCTTTAATACGTGTTTCTTGGCCAGGACATACCCCACCTTGCACTCCCTGAGCAGTCCCCAGGCCTGTCCTACCCTTTGGGTGCTTACGTGGCGGGGTTGGCTGCCTCGCCAGGAGGTGGGGCCACTGGGGCTGGTTCATCTCCTGGTGGATGTCTGCTCCCAGGAAGCAGCTGGGGAGAGTGGCTGACCTTGAGAAGAGACGGTTGGGTGTCTGCCGACTGGTTTTGACTAACTCTTGTGGTTCATGTGGCAGAAATGCCACTGCTGAAGTTTTATTTTTTCTCTAGAAAAATAAAACATGCCATTTTTCACGGCTTCTCAAAACCATTGGATTGGTACTTTGGCTTTCCTTAGTATGTCATTCTCTTTTGCAATAACATACTATTTGTTGCCATGTAGGCAAGTGGTCGATATTTAAAAATAGAATTCCCCAATCAGGAAGTTCTACAGATACTGTTCCAGAAAGTCGTTGTGTGTATGTGCACATATGAAGTGCATGTGAAGACTGCATTTTTCATGTTCTTTAGGTCCTTGCTTTTTATATCTTCGTGTTTTTTAGGGATGAACGTTGTAAAAGTATAAGATGAATAATTGCGGAGTAGACTCCGTCAGCAAATGATTTTGTTATGTACATGAGTTTATATGTAAAGCTGGCCAAACTTTGATCAACAGGTGCAGCTGACTTAATATGTTTAATCCTATACCAAATCGGTAGTGATAAAAAAGCAATGGGTAGATTTTAGAAACACATGCAGATTCAGTGATCAGTCTTAACTGTGTCCGAGTTCATCATGTATATGCTACTGCACATATACGGCACTCATCAGTGGTGTTCAGAATTTTAAGGAGGACAGGTGTCAAGCAAACAAACTGATTTTATTTTAAATTCCAAGAAGGGATTTAAGGATATTTTTAACATATTCCTGTGAAGATGTGTTCCAACCTTTGAACAGATACATATTTGAACAAATAGGACTATGTGGTGAATGGAAGAGCTGTTATCATGAAGTTTTGAAATATATATGTTTGATCCCATGTGAAGCATTACACAGTGAAGCCAAATCACTCTTCAGAAAGTTTGGTTAGCCAGTTTCTTAACTCTTACTGATTTATAGCAATTGGAGAAATACGTGGAGAAGTGAACCGCAAATTTATGATTTCTGCGATTCCCAAGGGATGGCTAATACTTGAACTCATGTCTTTGAGGAATATCTAATTGCAGTTGTCAAGTAATTGCTTCCTTTAAAATTAGATAAGTGGCACAGAGAAAATGAAGAAGTTCTCTGCAGTAATACTTTCTATTGGCCAATTCAGGATCTTGTTGCTGAAACTGTCCTGAGATTGTACTTTAAGGTGGGAAATGTCTGGGGAGACCGTTCATTGCTGATCGCTAAACAGTTGAAATCATTCTGCCCATCAGGTGTTCACCTACAAGCAGAGCACAATTACACACCAGAAGGTCACTGCTATGCACCCCATGAATGAAGAGGGCGTGGATGACATGGCCACTTTGACGGAGCTCCACGGGGGGTCCATCATGCACAACTTATACCAGCGATATAAGAGAAATCAAATATATGTAAGTTCCACTTGAATTCTTTTTTTTAAAAAAAAAAAATCCCTCATCGGGCTCCCTGCTCAGCGGGGAGTCCGCTTCTCCCTCTGACCCTCCCCCCTCTCATGTGCTCTCTCTCTCCTCTCATCCTCTCTCTCAAATAAATAAATAAAATCTTAAAAAAAAAAAAGAAACAGAACTGTTAAAAAAAAAAAAAATCCCTCAAGTTTGAGTGAATGCTAATTTTTGTTTTCAAAGGGTATTTCCTGCCTTTTGAGAACCTGACCATCTCATCTAAGTAAACCTGTGTTTCTGGGAGTTTTGCCAAATTAAAAACATGGTCCAATAAATTATGTTCTCATGTTTACTGCTTTGATTTTATTAGAGGGGATTACTTTCTATTGAAGGGTAATTTGACCTCTTCGGGTGAGTGCATTCTGTTTTGTTAAGTGTTTTGTTCTATGAAGAAGTCACCAGAATGGTTGTCTTCCTCAGTTAAGGGCTGGGGGTGGGGGGTGTGAAATGCAGATTTGCAAACAATAGTACCTTGAGCTCCAGCTTTTGTCTCCTTTTCTTGATTTTTCTCCTTTTATGGATTTTTGCATTTTTTTTTTTTTTCTGGCTCTGGAGCCCCTCCAGGGGAATATTTGGATTCAGGGAACCCATCTTTCTTATTTGTAGGATTGCTATTTTGAAGGGAGACATGTGCATAAAAAGCAGGCGTGCACATTTTTCTCTCAACTTTTGTGAAATGTGACTATATCTGTATTATAAGAATAATAGTTAGAGATCATTTCAAAGAAAGAAATCATTTCTATAATACATAATTACTTTTTGACATTAAAGTACATATATTAGCTTATCTGTCAAGATTGGCCTGCAGATTTTACCTTTTTCATCTGCCTGTTTCTAAGTCCTTACAGTAAAGGGGCCAACGGCTTACATGTTTTTTTCTTGTCAAGTTTAAATTTGTAGGGTTTTTTTGAAAAAAATTTTTTTAATATTGTAGAAAACTCTTGATCTTTTAGTAATTTTTCTTCTTCAGCAGTTACACTTAATTTTGCCAATACGTTTGTGATTCTGATGAATAACATCAGCCTTTACAGCAAACTAGTAGGTGCTTACGGAAACTCAAGGCCTGCTTAGTATTCTTGTTTCACCAATTTATTTACCCTTAGACGAGGAGAGGAGAGCTGGGAAATGAGGAGTTATTTGCGGGTTTAATGCTTAATTTTCCTCTGCTTTTTATGTTGCGAAAGTGTCATTTTTGCCAGATTGACGTAATGTTTGCCAGTTTTTAAGTGGCCCTATGGAGAGAAATGCAGTGGGATTCTAGCTCTCTGGCTGAGCTTGCCTACGCGAAGTCTCTAGGTTACGATGTTTTCCATATGCTCTTTGGGAAGGGTAACATTCCCATGTGTTTATGAAGACATGGCTGCCTGCTCTGTGTTGTGCATGTGTCGATGGAACTCTGTGGTCAGAAACCTCCAGGGTGACCAGTGGCCTCCCTCCTTCCTGGGGAAGAGCCACGACCTGCATCCAGGTTGCTGTTCCTGGGTATTGAGTATTACTGACGCTGCCATGGAACTTTGTTTACCTAGCAATTTCCTTGCTCAGTTTGTCAAGGACTGACTTTGTCTTTCCTTTTTTATGTGTTTTTAAAGATTTTCTTTATTAGAGAGGGCACGAGCCAGGGAGAGAGGCAGAGGGAAAGAGAAAGGGAGAAGCAGACTCTCCGCTGAGCAGGGAGCCCGACGTGGGGCTTGATCCGAGGACCCTGGGATCATGACCCGAACTGAAGGCAGACGCCCAACCGATTGAGCCACCCAGGAACCCCTGACTTTGTCTTTCTTGAGCCAAGGACATTCCCAGGCACCTGGTAATTGTGTGAGAAATGTTTGTAAAACACATGCCATATGTATTAGAAATAACATCCTAGTTGATGATGAAATGCGAAGCTAGATTGACAGTTTCTTTATGGGTATGTGTGTCTCGTAGGTATTTCAGAATTCACCCTTTTCTATCTTTAGGTGCAAGTTCTTATTCTACATTTAATAGTCAGGGAAAAGTCAATCCATTAGCAGGGGCGGGGGGGGGGGGAACTACCCAGGGGGTTTAAAAGGCAGAGCCTTTTTAAAGTTTTTCCTCTCCCTCTTTTTGTGATGACGTTAAACCTGATAGCTAAGTGGCCCAATAAAGCCTGTGAATAGGGTCTTGGTTTTTTTCCCTAGAATGAAGATCTTTTTCCTCCCCTTTGAGGGAAAAACACGGGATTTTTGTACCTCCAATTTACAGGTCAGTTCAGTTAATAATGCCCTTCTGTGCCTGCCTTTTGAGACTTGGATAACTGAATTGTCATAAAGCAGCCCCTCGATTTTCTTATCGCTGATGCTGCTGGAGATGGTTGCCAGGATGCCTCAGGCTCTGCCCCATCAAGACAAAACGACCACCTGTCAGAAAAACCACAGCTGTCCTGCCTTTTATCCCCGCTCTGAGCGATGCCCGTCTATAGCTTTAAAGAAGAAAAAAATTACTCGTACCAGAGGTGCTGTATTAGTTTTCTTTTGCTGACATAAAAAATTGCCGTAACTATAACAACTTAAAACAGCAGATAGTGACCTACGGTTCCGTAGGTCATGGTCTGGCCGGGGTCTCGCCAGCCTCAGATCCAGGGTTGGGAAGGGCAGTGCTCCTTTCTAGAGGCTCTAGGGGACGATCTGTTTCCTGCTCCTTCTGTTCATATGTGCAGTTACAGGACTGAGGTCCCGTTTTCTTGCTGGCTGTCAGCTGAGGGCTGTTCTTAGCTTCCACGGGTCTGCTTCCTTCCACCTTCAAAGCCAGCAGCGGTAGACCGAGTCTCTCTCATGTTTCAAATCTCTCCTTCCTTCCTTCTCATTTCTGTCTGCAGCCAAGACTTCTCTTAGCTTTTAAGGATTCCTGCAATTGGATGGGGCCCACCTGGATGATCGCCCTGTCTCAGCATTTCCAACCTTAATCTCATCCTCAAAGTGCATTCGGCCTGGATGTCCAGGGGGCACGTTCATCTGCTTGCCATAGGTGGCCTCCTTTGAGTCATGTTACGGAGAAGGAATCCCCGTGGGTCTTCTCCGACACTCTTGATCTTGCATTATTTCATTTGTTGGCTTTCTGGTCCGAGTTAGCAGGTTACACAGCTTGCTGATGAGCAGACCCATCACCAGGTAGAAAGGTCTACTGCCTTGTGCTAAAAAGGACCATTAGTTTTTTTTTCTCCTTGGGGACCCCCCCTTACTGACTGAGGACTTTACCAGACCCCAGTAAGATATTTTCCCCAGCCATTACCATCCTCCATTAAAATGGGGTAGACAGCCATAAAGATTATGATAAAGCACTCAGAGTAGACAAATCTGAGTTGAGCATGCTTTTCTCCACTCACCTCCTCTTGGGCTCTATCTTAATAATTTAATCTGTGTGTCAGTTTTTTAATTTATGTTTTTTAAAAGGTCAGATGTCATAGCGATGTCATAACCCCTACATCTGACAGGACTGTTTTCAAATCAAATGGCAAGTGAGAGCTTCTAGAACCTTTGTACCTTTCCTGCATCTTGTCTGTACTACCAGGTGTTTATTTATAAAGCTCCTGCCTGGAACTTGGCCCTGGATCCTTCAGGGAAGACACTGAACAGGCTTCTCTGTCAGTGTGTAGGTCTGCATGACCCCAGCTTTGCCACTGGTCCTTTTGGGATCTGACCCCTGTTAGAGCAGCTCTACTCTTTACATAATTGCCTTGCATGAGCCCCTTACTTTTGCCCTAATGCTGGATTCCTTTCCTGGAACTTCAGGTTCCTGGTGCTTGAGGCTCCATCTCATCTTTCCCATCCTCTGGTGACTTCCCAGCACTATAGCTCCTAGCCTGGGATCTCATCCCACACTCCACCCTGAGCCTCTTTTCTATGGGCTTCCTGCCACAGGGGCTGTTCCATGATGGGGGTCTGATGAGGGTCCCACATTCCTCTGTCTCCTCCTACCGCTCATGAGACTGGGTAAGGACAAGTACCACACCTGTTAAGTTCCTAAAGGCTCAGGGAGAGGAGGAGCAGGGCATGTGTTTGTGGGACAAAGAGGAAAGAGATAGGGAGAGGTAACCTGTAGGTAGGCGAGAAAGCCTGAACTGACCATGAAAAGCCCTGTGGGGGGACGGGAGGGGCAATAATGACACTTCAGAGGAGGGATAAGAGTTGGTTAGGAGGAAAGGCTAGTAGACACCATACAAGAACATGGAGAGACGAGAGTGAATTCAGTGTGATGGACTCACTAAATTGGGGGAAGTTCCTTTGCTCACGGCATCTGGTGTGTTAGGGGATATTGAGCCAGTTAGACGAGGTAGGCAGGCTGGGGTCAGGACACCCTTAAAGCAGTGATTCTCAACCAGGTGATTCTGTCCCCAGGGGACATTGGGCGCTATCTGGAGGCATTTCTGGTTGCCTGGCTCAGGCAGAGGATGCTATCGGTATCTGGTGGGTAGGGACCAGGGGTGCTGCTGACATCCCACGGTGCCCAGAACAGCCCACAGCAAAGCATTATCTGGACTGCAATGTCAGTAGTACCAAGGTTGAGAAACCTGGATTTGCTTATAGTTAGTAATGTTTGGGCTGAGCGGTATAGAAAGCACACCATCTTTGTTAAAGGTTTTTGAAGAGAGAATTTCCTCAAGGTAAAACTCAGACAAGTTGATAGGGAGGTGGTGTGGTATGGAGTAGAGAGGGTAGGTTGGCGGAGAGAAGGTTGCAAAGACGCCACGGCAAAGCGATGGAGGGCTTTAGCCAGGGGCGGGGTGGGGGGCTGGGGGCAAGGGAAGAGCAGACAGGAGAAGCGTGGGGGAGGAAGGGTTCGTTTTCATGACCCCCGGCCTTGTGAACGCCCAACGGCCATGAGAACATGGTGCCGACAGTCCCGGCAGCTCCTCTAGGAGAGGAGAGCGGGGAAGACGAGCTGGTGTTGGGCGCCCGTCTTACTGTATTCTCTGGAGCCTGGATCATTTCACA